TATCAAATATAAATAATCGATTTGTTAATAAAGCTACTAAATAAGTTGTAATAAAATGGATCATTCGATCAGCAATACCTGTTTTCGATTTTGCATAGATTAAAAAGCGAACATCAAGTTCAATTATACGTTGAAATTGTTCTTCGAATGTCATAGAACGATTACTAATACTAAAACTAATATTTTCATGCCATTTTTGATAATTTAAAATCCAATTTTGAAATTTCTCTGGACATACATGATTATTCTTTGCGATTTCAAATGGAACTAGACGTCTCGGTTTTGTTGACACGTTATTTTTATCGAAAACTTTTCTATTAATTGATGCTCTATACTGTAAATCAAGCCAATATGAAACAGCTTTCTGTTCTCTAATAAATAATTCTCGTGAAGTTGAATGAATTAAAATATTGACAGAAGAACATTGAAAGAAAGTCAAAGGTAATTTTGAAGGTTGTCTTTGGTTTCGATTTAAATAAGAACTTAAGCATGACATTGTTGGCGGCCACTGAGACCAAGAAAATAATTTTTCGTGATCAAAACTCCACCATTGATAAGTAAAACGAAATTTATCATTACTCAAGAACATTTCATGAATATCAAGAGATATAGTATCTGACGTATTTGTTAATGATAATGGGCAACTTGAATTTTGAGATAAAAAAATGAAACTTACTTCTTTCAAATTAAAGATATTTAAGCGAAAATTCAAATAAATATGACAAATTGGATGAAAATCTTTTATAGTTTTCGAACTTTTCAAACAGGTTATTTTAACATGATCAATTTTATTTTTAGAAACATCTTTTAAATAATTCCAATAATCTTTAATCATGGATGTTAAATTTAATTTTAATGATAAATAATGATTATGAAACATTGGTTGAAATGAACTTTTTTCTCTATGAGATAATGCTTCTTCATATAATGAAAGTAATTCAATCGCGGATCTTTTCATCCGTACTGATGGTGCGCTTTGAAAAGGTGCGTCAATAAGCCATTTGATTTTTAAATCATTATGAAAAATAAATAAAAAAGTTAAAAGAAATATGATCGAACCGATAATACATTGAATTTTTGTTACTTGATATAATCTCTTCTTTATTGTTATCATTCAAAATTGTTTTAACATTGATAAATAATATAGTATAATTAATAATCTGAAAATTTATGTTAAAGAACATCATTTGAAAATTATTAACTTTTGTGGAGAAACCAATATCTATTCTTAAAACAAATGAATAGAATATTGTATTATAGGTAACCCATATAGATTTTTCAAAGCCCGTTGGCCGTGATAAACCGTAAAAAACTTGAAATATATAGTTTTCCCTTCTGTCTACATTGTTTTAGATTCTCGATAGTCTGTAGATTCCTAGTAATGTAAATTGGTATCGTGTCGAATAATTGAAAAAAAGAGACATGTCGGAAGAATAAATTGAACTACTTTCGCAGATGCAAGCCTACCAAGGTCAAACAAATAGATGGTAAGATCTTGCATGATCATTCATCTGATCTTGTAAGATCAGACGGAAATTGTACAAAAAATCGTGGTCTCAGAAGTCTTGTATCAAGTCTTACTCTAAGATTCTTGACAGATCTTGTTGTCCTATCAAATCTTACTGTAAGATTATAGAAAATCTTATGCGACGGTAAGATCGGACAAGAATCATGCAGTAAGAATTGATGTAAGATTTCTGAGATCACGATTTTTTGTACGATTTCATGTGATCGTACAAGACTTAATGTCAGATTTTTTGACCTGGATAGCAGAATAGCAGTTTCAAGTGTGATGAGATTAATTTGATTACGTGAAACTTCTGAAAAATGTGATTTTGAAATGCCTTTTTTTATTTAACTAACTCAGTACCCAATGAATAAAAAGAATGACGAAAAATGATGACAGGCAATGAAAAATAATGTCACTTTTAATGATGAAACTGACACCATACTTGATACTATTTAAAATCATTGGTGACTGTCAGAATTATACATCGTGAGACTGTTGAAATTTACACGTATGTCATGTTATGAAAATGATTCAATATGCACGAGATAGTTGTCCTGGAATTGATACAGATCTGAGTGCAGTCGTGGGGTTTATGTGAAGAGAAAATCCACAAACCAACATCGAAACGCATACAGACAAGCTCGAGCTGGTTATATATTCAAGATCGAGCACACACTAAAATAAAATGTGTCGCACTTATGTGTCGTGAATTATAGTGTCGCAGACTCAATGATGAAAATGTGTCGTGCTTAGAATGTGTCGTATATAAATTTGTTTCGTTCTGTCTGTTGACTATTCATTCACCGTCTTGTTTTGGGCATACAGCTATATATCGACAACGCGATTGGCATATACAGAACTTATATTTTCATGTTAGTTATTTTTTTAAATTATTTCTCGATATGTATTTGTCGAAAACATGCCGATCTTGATTGATGATCGAGAAAGAACTACCCTGAAGCGGTTTGATGCAGATCGAATCAGCTTGGGGTCGGACGGATCTCAAGATCTGACCTACTTGAATTTTCAGAATAGCAAGAATTAAATGGAATTAACTCGAAAAACATGTGCTAATTTGTTTTTAGGCAAAAATTCAAAATGCGCTGTATAGTACGTTCGAACCATGTTTTCAAAATGTGTTGCATGTGTCGTCCTAAAATGCGACACATTTTATTTTAGTGTGCAGTCTAGACATTTTTAGATTGTGTCACTAATACGAGTGAAACTATCAAAATAGTAAGTATTCTCTTTTTCCAAAGAAAAAAATGATACTGACACTGAAGAATAGATTTGAGCCATATTACAGAAATGTACCATATGTATTCGCACGGTTTCCGGGCAGAATATCTTAAAGCAAGCACTATGTATTGTATTTTCATATGTCGTACATTGTGTTGCAAATTACGATACAATTTATTTTTGTGTGAAATATGAAAAACAAAGAAAATATTCATTTTGTATTTGCATCGTATCGCTTACCGTTTCTATTATTATTAATATGAAGCTTAGTATGAAAACGAAGTCAATTATTTTCTAAGCACACTTATAAAATAAATCATCAGTTGTAGATCTGCAGCACAGTGATTCGATGATCACCTCCAGCTCGAAAAAAAGTAGTAATAATTAGATTTTTTAGAGTTTTTCTAATAAATATTTACGTAAAATAATTAAGTTCTTGAAATTGAGAAGATTGACAAAAGATGTCAGTATCGGCTGTTAAAATTCAATTCCAATCGCTAGTAAAATTATCTGGCAAGCAACAGCAGCGAATCGAGAATTGCATTAGTCATCACGAACTAACACTATTCAACTGAAACTCGGATTCTGTATTTTCAAAAGGTATTATCCGTATTACTTTCTTGAATGTTCTGTTGGGGGTGAGTGTAGCTGTGTTAAGCATCCATAATATTAACATTTCATCTCAGCAACGAGAATCATCTTATAGTCTCGTTTTAATTGAATTTTTATTTAAAACACAACCAAAACAAATTTATTTCGAAAGAACTTTTGCCGAAGCAAAGTTCAAATAAATTTACAATGGTGGAGATGGGGGCCGGATTCCTTGACTTCTGAACTCTTCAGGGTGTGGGTGTGGGTGTGAATGTGAATCTTCAATTCAGCGACTCCAACACGCACATCTACCCACACCCACACCCTACCCTCATTTTTTTGAACTATTCTTTGTGATTCTCTTCTATTTGATAAAGCTACCAGCATATGAGCTTAGCCAGACAATATCATTATTTCTACCTACGACGTAGTAACTTGTTTGAAATTGCCAACTATGATGACAATAATAAATTGATGAATACAGTCATTGGAACTGTTTCAAGAATTTATATAGGATGTAAAATGTAATAATTGAAACATGTTTCTTTCGTCTAAATTTTACTAAAGAGAGTATACATGAGATCATTGTTTGAAACTTTTCTGAATTGAAATCGATTCTATAATAACTGGTCAATTAAGTGATTGCTTGATGATTATTTGGCACCTATATTACAGAGGTAACTCCAGTTTCTTTTTATCTGTAATTAGTATAGGAGTTAAAATTGATTGAATTATAATTATTAATGATTTTAACTCGATTAGCATCTTAATTTTTTTAGCAGATTTAACTAAATTGAATTAATAATAAACACTTTGATTTCTATGACATATTTGATAGGATAATTAGATGCGAATGTACATATTTGCACTATTCTTTACTTCAGACAATCAGTATTTTGAATGGTCCTCTGCATTTTTGTCATGCATTCATCTAAAAGCTACGTTTTCTCGTATTTTTATGTTGAGCGTGAATGAGACAATATATTCTTTCTTGTGTAACATTAAGAAGTTTTTTTTATGTTGACGGCTACAAACGAAACAGGAAAATCACAATCGGTTCTATTGAAAATATGCTTAGCGAGTATATCTGTTGCAGAAATAAATAAAATAAAACTTTTTTCTGAGAATTTACTATTAATAGAGAGCAACTATCATCTTTTGGAGTTTCGTCCCTCTACTTGTTTTGTATCAGTATAATGAGCTAATGAAGATCTCTAAGTTCCACATTTTAGTTCGACAGGTGCTGTAGTGACACGCTTTTTTATTAAGAAATGAACTATCTGTCATTATGTGTTTATGCAAATATATGTCATACCATAACATAATTCTTAAAAATCTCCTAAACATCAAAACAAGATATAGGTTAAGATTTTGTTAACATTTTTTAAGAAACAGATTGCATCAAACATATAATTTTCTCACGAAAAAAGTAACTTTTGACATGTCCGTCTATCAATAAACATATTATATACCATATATTGAAAACTATCATAACAAACAAAACAGTATTTTGCTTCGATTTACCCTTGAGTAATTATACTGATAATCTATATGACAAAATCTTTTTATTAAAAAAATAGCTAATTTTCAAAAAGATTCACGATTAGAAATAAATGTTCTTTATTTATATTTAAATGGTATGTCTTATTGATAAAATAAATTAAACTTTAACAAATTTAATAATTCTATGATTGGTAGTATCACTAACATATAAATTCATTTGAGAATCAAAATGTAAACTTCTTGGTTGAGCTAAATGTATAGATGAATTACCCGCTCCATTTCCTCCAGCTATTGTAGTACCTTGATTTCCATTTTTTACACAAAACCTTTGTATTCTAAAATTTCTCGAATCTGCAACATAAATATTCTGATATTGATCAACTCGAACATCCAATGGAGAATTAAGTAATGATGAAGTATTTCCACTTTCACCTGAGGTTCCAGCAGCAACTGATCCGTTTGATGCACCTGGTATCCATTTAATTATTGTATGTCCACCATAATTTGCAATATACATTGAGTTTGATGATGTATCATAATAAATTCCTTGGGGATTATTTAATTGATCTGTATTATTTCCAGGATTATTTCCACCTGCAACAACTAAATGCAAAAATAAATCAAAGAAATTATTTGAAAAAAAAAAACTTCGGAAATTTACCTGTTCCAGCGGTACCATTTATTGAATTAGTTGAAAATCTCATAACACGATTATTTAATGATTCAACTTCATATAAATATTGATAGGATGAATCTAACCAAATATTTTTTATTCCATTAAATTGATTTGTAGCATTTCCAGGTGTTCCCGTTCCTGCGATTGTGGTACCGATCAATGATCCCGATGGGAATCTTTGAATACGGTAATTATAGTAATCAGGTACATAAATATTTTGATTTCCATCAGGATAAACAAATTCAGGACCATTTAATTGAGTATTACTATTTTCCTGCTGTAATATTCCCGGCAATTGTTGTTATGACACCAGTAGATAATATCATTCTTTGTATTCGATTATTTCCAAAATCTGTTATATATAATATGTCATTATTATCTATATAAATTCCAAATGGTCTATTTAATTGATTTGATCCCGAACCAGCTGTCCCATTACCAAGTACTACAATTCCAGTTGGATTCCATCGAAAACTACCTATTAAACAATATATTATTCATTTTAAATAAAAACTCTCTGAGATTAAAATGTGAAACACAATGGAATTTTTTTGCATTTTATATGAAAGAATTTACCAACATATGTTACAGTGAGTGTCAAAAAACAAGATAAAAGAGCTATTTTAAGTCCAATCGTGTTTCACAATAATTCTGCAACAGACTTCGATTTTATGACTATGTCTCTCACGGTTTATAAAGGAGGCGGTGTGTATGAATTTCTACTTCTATATTTCCTTCAGTTCGAGTTTCACAAAAAAGAATGTTTCCATCACTCACATGAATCGACGGCATCTAAAATAGAATAAATTAAAAAAAAAAGATAAAGACTGTCTTGAAAAATCCTAGTATAAGTTTTCATTTTGATCTTATTTCTTATCAATAAAACCCTACCTGTACTTCTATTCAAACTAACACCTAATGCAATACCAATAGCTGCACCAATTAAAATAAGAATAATGGTACAGATGATGATCGCAAGCATTTTTTTTCTGGTACATAAGCGTTGACGTTTTTTTCTAAATGAAAAGATTTCTTTGATAATTATTTAAGAAGAGTGAATACATACGCTCTTTTCGATGAAATAAATGGTAATCGAGTTGGTTGCATTATCACTTGTTCAAGCTGAAATCAACAAAGAGAAAAATGATAGAATCAATTTATTGGTCGAACTTTCTCTATAATAAATATTTGCAATACATCGGTTGACTAATTCGAGCTTGAATATAAATGAAGCTTCTGTAAGAATGAGTGTAGAACGGGTTACAGAGACGTAACTGAGAGGCACGTGAGGCGTTGTACCCTCTGGATCTGAACTTCGTTCACGTGCTGTCCCACCTGCTTTGCATGCTGAGGTATGCCCCTTAAGAGTTACAGAGGGCACACAAGCCAGAATAAAGATGAGGCAGCTTTCTGAACAGAGGTGCAGAATCTTCCTCATGCGCCCCCGCGCGGGGAGGGAAATTTTTTGAAAAACTCAAATAATAGGGAAATTTCGGAAAAACCCGCTGGCCAAAAAAAGATACAGTGGGGAAATTTTTCAAAAAACTTTTTTGCGTGGGGGGAAATTTTTGGATTTTTGGAAGATTCTGCACCTCTGTTTCTGAAAGTCTTAGATGAATAATAATTGATACTGATGTAAATTTTTTCTTTTGCCATAAGCAAGTGCTAGATATTTTTTCAATTATTTTCAAGGTCATCTTATGCAGTTGAAGCTTCATTAAAATTCGACCTTGAATTAGGCATATACTCTTGCAATAACTTCATTTGCAAACTTATCTGACCAGAATATTAATGAAATATTTTGGCAAACATTTCGAATAGCTTTTCTGTCTTTGTTGTATTTTGTTTCCGCAGTCTTTTTTCTTACTGTTGAAAAAGAATGATGACGCTGTCGAATTTTATTGACCGATGGAGTTCTTTCATCATTTTGTTTTTGATTGTAATTTTCTAAAGCAGTCAGAACCTACTGAGGCAAAAGAGATTGAATATAAATAACATAAATTCAAATATCTAACCGAGCGTGAACTATTATGACGATTAATAGATTCATTGTTTATCGATTTACTGCTGCTTGGTGCTCGAACAGTTACATAAATGACATTGCTTGGTCGTCTGTTTCTTTTTGATAGATGTTTTTCATCTTTTATAACATTTGGTTTGATTGGTAACGCAGAAGCTAAAAAACATTATCTTTATAACAAGTCAACGAGATAGTAATTATTAGAATGCGTACCTTTTTTTTACCTGTATATGAGTTTGATCTATCATCATTGTAATTTTATTTATGATTGAAAAAAATCCTTTCTTCTTTTTTGCTATATAAATTAGATGTACACATCGAGCTTCATTGAGGCGGTGTATAAATTAAAATTATATGAGTTGAGAAGATTGTTTTTTTTAATAATTTTCTTGTTTAAAGAAACATCGTATAATGATACAGTTCTCATACATGCTCTATGTTTGAATTGCATTATGAAAATTTTCGAAAGAGAGAGAAAATTAAATTTCATCTTTGTTCTTTTTCTATCTTGTGTAAAAATATATGTTGTTCGTAGATCAAAAGAGGGTGTGGAGTGTGTAAAGGTGCAGAATCGGCCGTAAAAAAGAAAAATTTCCTCAACCGTTAAAACTATTTCGAAAAATTTCCTCAGCTAGAAAAATCAAAAAACATGGCCTTCTGTGGATTATATGTCTATAAAGAAAGGGCATCGAAAAAGAACTACTTAAAACAAATAGCGTGATTTAAAAAAACAAGGGTAAGGTGGGTATGAGGTGCAGGTGTGGGTGTGGGTGCTTGTGGGTGTGGTTGTCGCTATGGGTGGGTATGGGTGTGGGTCTGAGTGTGAGTGTGAGTTTATTGGTATTCTCTTTTCACCTATTCACATCCACACACCCACCCACCCCATCCGGGTGTGGGGTGTGGGCGTGGGTGGGGGTGTGGGTGTGAGGGTGGGTGGATGTGGGTCTTGTTTTTATCTATATCCACACCCACACCCATATACCCACACACTCACACATCCACACCCACACCCGCTAATATTTTGATCTTGTTAGTTATGCGGCGATAGCTTTCATTGGGTATTCGTAATTTATACTAACACCGCAAACACCCAACTTTATAAGATCGTATATAAGTGACCTTTACTAACACCCAAACCGTAGGGAGTTATGTTTACTAACATCCACTAACACCCACTTTCTACGAGTCATAAGAAAAAAAACTGTCAGCAAACATTGAAAAATGATTCCCCTCAATCACGACCAGGCCCCACGATGTGCCGGGGGCTAGCTCCCGGCATTTTTTAAGCGTGTCTGCGAAAATTTTTAATACTGTCTGACAAAAATGTGTAATATAGTCTGCGAAATTTAATTTTACGGCTGCAGTCGACTGGTCACGTGATAATATGAGCGGTGAAAAATTTTTGTGTTGACACAATTTTTCCCGAAGATTTTACTGAGTCCTGGAGGGGGGGTAGAGGTATCTTCGTCGCGCTACCCCCCCCGTCATCACTTTTAATGAAAAATTGGGAAGTCCCCAAAAAAATAAGTGACTGTCTGCCAAGTTTTTGTGAACTGTCTGGCAAAAGAAAAAAAACTTTAGCCCCCGCCACTCTCAAAAACAATCGAGAGCCCTGATCACGACACCCGGGAGCTCTCTTATATTACATACAAACACTTTAGCGTATGCATACTAACACCCATAGAACTCCATAAGCTAATTTTTGACACGAATATGGGCCATACTCATATAGCGTTTTCTACAGATTTTTTTGTTGTAAACATGTATAACCGATGCAGATATGTTTATACAAATCTACTACTACCAAAAAGATCTATATAAACCGGTCCATAGCAGTCAATATACCTTCACTAACGATCACCCAACCACGTAACCTATTTATTGATATATAGACATGTACCAATCCCGAACGCGACTTCGAGTTTCCGAGTCAAACGTTGTAAGATTGAACTCGACTCAAACTCGAACATGTAAACTCGAACTCGATTTGAACTCGAATATGTAAACTCGAACTCGACTCGAACTTGAGATTATATGTTCGAGTTCGAGTCGAGTTCGAGTCGAGTTCAATCTTGCAATGATGTAGTTCGACTTCAATAGGTGAATTTTGATCGAGTTCAATTGTGCTGAGAGTGATGGATTAATAAAGAGCCTGTTTGCTATCAAGAATGAATACTCGATCAGTGTCTGGTAGATAACTAGTCTGATATCCATCAAATGACATTTACAGCATCTGTTTTGATAAAAAGAGTTCAGGGCCGATTCATAGAGGTGTCCCGAGGTCACCAAGATTGAAGGGGAGAGGGGGGCGTCGAGATTGTTTTGAGATGGGTAGGTGTGGGTGTGGGTGTAGCCAAGTCTTTTCTTTACCGACATCCACACCCACACCACACCCACACCCACACCCACACCCACACCCACACCCACACCCACACCCACACCCACACCCACACCCACACCGACACCCACACCCACACTCACACCCACACCCACACCCACACTCACACCCACACCCGATTACTCACATCTTCTCTTCCATTATAGATACTACGCTTTCCATTACAGATCTCAACGGTTCAGGCACACTGACGTCAGGCTCGCTAGATTTGTTTTCAAAGTCGATTAAGCTATAATTTTGAAAAGAAATGAATAACTGTGCTGGTGAATTCCTTGAGATATATATTAGTAGGGGGTTGACATCTACTGCACATCTCCTCTATATTTAAATCAGACATATTCTTCTCCCGTTAAATATAATGATTGCATTGATAACAATATTAAATTAAGAAAAAAAAATTTAAAAAAAATGAAAAATAAAAAGTAGATAGCAACAGTGCGGAAACAAATTAGTGCGCTGATATTAAAATAAAAATTTCGATTATAAATGCAGAAATTAGAGAAATCCCAATTCTAATGGTTGATTCTTCTGCAAAAAAGTCTACGAGTGATTTTTTACATCCAGTATTTTGTGTTCGTTAAACCAGACTAGAAAATACATGTGAGTTTCACATTTTAGCCCCAAGTGAGCTGCGTTGACAAGCTTTTCTCTTAATGATATCGTTTTCTTTTTTCAATGTTTTATGATCAGCGTCTACTATAAATTCGAGTTTGTCACACATCCATGAATTCATACCGTCATTGGTATGATTTGTTTTTCTTCTTGATCGACTTTTAGAAGAATTATATCACGAAAGTTTTTAGGATCACATTTAATTGCTTAGAATAGATGATCTTCTTCAGCATACAAATCGTTTCATGACGTTGTATGAATAACCTTAATTAATAAGACAACTTTCTCATTTATGGCTGAATTATTTATTGTAACAGCTTCTTGAGAGACAAATAAAAAGGCAAGGTCATTATATTCTTCGACTTTAGTACGCGTTTTAAATTGTAAGATTTAAACAAGTAGTTCTGTTTCTTGCCGTATTGATTCGAATATAAACTAAGTCTCAGGCTTTATATATGTTCTTAATGTAAATCAATTATGTAGTTTTTACTCAAATAGTATTCCATTTTACTGTGTTATAGATATATTCATATATTTAACTCGACCAACGTCTCGGCTGCTCGTCTCATCTAATTTTATAATGAATTTCGATCAACCAGAATAAGAAACACATTAAATTCTCAATAAAAAGACGTTCAGATGAGAACGGAAAGACTGCAAATCTGCAACGTCAATTAAGAACAATAGATTCCATTTCTTCCCATCGAAAAATTTTAATATGCATTAAATCATTTAAAACAAAAGCAATTAATAATTGACCTTTTTTCCAAAACGACACAACTTTTTGGCAAAATCACTTGTGTTTATTTTAGTGAATAGAAAGAAAATATAGCCAATATATACTGAAGATAACATCTCCAATAATGGGTGTGAGTGTGGGTGTGGATCTTCTTTTCTGCAGGATGCACGTTCACACCCACACCCACACCCATCATTTGATTGATTGCTGTTA